GAACAGGAAGGTAGTTGGAGGTGTAGGGAAATGTCAGTTGATTGCTACAATGGTATAATTAGATAGGAACAGTAAGCTCTGAGGTTGTGAGTTTTAGTGGATCCAGCTAATAATGATGCACTGCATATTTCAAAATGGCTAAAAGAGAAGATTTTGAATGTTTGTATCACAAAGAAATAATAAAAGTTTAGTGCTGGATATGCTAATTACACTGACTTGATCATTATTCAATGTATGAATAAGTATCACGTCATACCCCATAAAATGTACATTTATTATGTGTCAATCAAAAATAAAAATAAGGCCAGGAGTCACGGTGCACACCTGTAATCCCAGCATTCAGGAGGCTAAGGCTGGAAGATTACCATAAGTTTGAAACCAGCCTTGGTGTACATATAGTGAGTTCAAGGCCAGCCTGAACTACATCATAAGACCCTATCTCAACCACTCAATCAATGAATCAATCAATTATTCAATAAAAAGAAAGCATGGAAGTAATAGTACGAAATACATATTTTGTTTTTATTGTAACATATGTGGACAGTTATTCAACATTTAGCTTACACATACCGTGAGCTAAATTACATATACTTATGTCATTCTTGTTTTTGCCACTGTCTGTCTGATCCTGGGAATTATATGGCTTTCTCAATCATGCTCCCATTTTTGGCCTCTCTAGTTCAAGGCCACCTCTTCTCTACTGACTGCCCCTAGTCTGGGGCCCAAGGTTAGGTTCTCTGGGGTCTGCATGTGTTTGAGAGAGACAGAGAGAGAACTCTGGTGGAAGTCTGGAGGTAGGAGTGAGATGATAAATAGAGGACAAGAACCTGGGAGTGAAGAGGCTAAGGAGAAAATCTGGAAAAATGAAAGGACAACAATGTAGGAGGACACCGATCAGATTTGTCCCACGGAGTTCCAAGGTGAAAACCAGGACCCAGTGATAGAAACAGAAGTCTGATGGAGCTGCCCGAAGATACAACGGAGCAGCTTGTCATCACAGTTCTTTAGATAAATGAGAGGGCCAACTGTTGGCAGAGAGTGTAAAAGACTTGTCAGTTATCTATTGGGGCATAATAAATCATTCTAAAATGCAGTAGTTTAGTACAACAAATATTTATCATCTCACAACTTCTGTGGGTTAGGAACTCAAGAGTCGTTTTGTTGGGGGAGTCTATTGCAGGGTCTCTCGAGAGATTTCAGCCAAGGTGGCCGAGGCTGGTTCCCTGCAGCTCATTCAGATCTCTGAGGCTGCTGGCAGGAAGGTCAGTGCCTCACAGGCTGCTGGAAAGTGGTCATAACTTTTTAGTTACACTCCGAAACACTGTTTGAGTGTCCTTCCAATGTGGCAGCAGTCACCCACAGAGTGACCAACGGAGACCATGAGGAGACTCCACAATGCTTTTTTACTTGGTCTCAGAAATCACACCCTGTTGCTCCTGCCATATTCTTATCCACTGGAAGCAAGTTTGTGAAGTACAGGCCACACTAGGGAGAGGAGGAATTTAAGGTCCACCGCTTGAAGGAAGGAGTTTCAAACAATTTAAGGACAAAGCACCAGCAAGAAGGCTACACAAGGGGACTTGGGAAGTTCTCTCACATCTGAGATTTTTCCAACTCTACTCATGAATCAGTAAACAACAAATTTCAAAAGCGTCCTGCACTCAAGACATAGCATTCTGAAAGCAGCTCACTCGCTATATTTGTCAAGAAGAAAGGCTCAATAATGGCATCCTGGAAACTCCATCACATGGCAATAGGGTTCCACTCAAACTGCATTTGTGGTATAATGGGAACATTATTTATGGTTTTCAGAAAAGAAAGCAGACACAGAAAAGGCTAAAGTTAGAAACTGTTTTAATTATACTATTCTTAGAGACAAAAAAGTGACTAACAATATACAGTATTTGTTTCTTTTTGTAATTTTAGCATTTTAAGTTTCTTCTATTAATTTTCAGAATTCTTTTGTTTTATTTGGATATGTAGGAAAGAAAAACTTCTAGGTTCATCCTGGATATACTGAGCATCAAGGGGCCATAGTCTAATACAAAGCCATTTAAGAAATTTAAGTTATGGTTTGATTTAGAACAACTGAAAGGATACAGCACAGAAAAATCCACTCGATCTTGATGTCTGCTTGTTTGTGTGTGTGTATGTGTACGCTCACACGTGTGCAAGGGATCAAACACAGGAGTAGACAAGCATTCTACCTCTGAGTTACACACATAGTCCCCAATCATAACTACACACCAGTCCCCAATCTTGACGTTTGAATGCCTCCTTTTAAAAGCAGAGGTTTATGACACACACTTCTCTACAGGTCTAAGCTTCCAGTAATGTGCCATGCACTGAGCAATACTTCTACAATCTTGATATTGTCAGTGCTAGTTACTAGTGTTGTCATTATTTGGAATCAATCTGTAAACCAAGCATAGAAGATAAACATGGCTATTGGAAAGAATACAAATATTAAAGCTGGAACAATAATTGTATGGTTGACAGAGGTTGAGGTGAAGTACAGGAGAGAGGAAGAGAAAAGTACATGAATGTTCCTCAAATTACAAAGTTGAAAGAGTGATAGAATGGCTGATAGAGATTATGTAAAGCTGATGAATCAAGAAATGGTGTCTTACAGTTTCAAACAAAATTAAAATAAATTATTTCAAATTAAAGTTAGAATTGTAACCAAAATCAGAAGGGAAGAAGACATGGATATGGTATGAGATTTTTCTTTTCAGAACAAGGAGACACAAGTTCACAAATGCATCAAGAAATAAACATGAGCACATTCTACAGAGTGAGCATTGCCCTCAAGAATAACCAGAAGCACAGACTGGTTGCTTTGGTAATGGGATGGCAAAGGCGACCTTCATGTTTTGTTTCCTATCTTTTCTGTACTGTATGAATCTATTTTATTGCCATATACTGAACATTCATAACTTTCTGAAGGTGAAAGAAGAAAAATCCATGTCACTGGTAGTATAAGTTGACCTTAGCCTATGTGTACCAGGATTTAGTAGATAAATGTCACACATATCAATTCCTCTAATTACCTGGCAAGATTTCACTTCCTTCCTAAGTTAGCACTTTATACTTACTGCTTTGTTTTGAGATAAAGAGGAAGAAACAGTTTGCAAATCACTGCCTTTGTAATAAAACTACTTAACATGGGCTACAATACTATTACTTATTATATACTTTGAATATGCATTTTTATACTACACTACCCAAAATGAGAAGACAACCACAACCCCCTTATGATTTTTAGGATTCACTTGAGTGAGCAAAAGTCCAGGCTCAGTAAACAACTGGGATGCCCCTTCCTAGGAATAACCCATTATACTGTTTTAATAACTCTTTTCCCAAATACTAAGGGTTATTCTTCTAAGTTCTTATTGAAGGCCAAGGTAAGTCTTCTACAAGTATTTAAAATCAATTCCTTGCTATTTAAATGTAAAGAATATGCAATGGATTCAACAATAGTTAACATACAAAAAAGAAAATCACTATTTGTCTTGGTTTAACAAAAGATGGTCATTTAAGAAATATTTCCTCAGAGCAACCTTAGTACCAGGTATAATAGGTAGAAACACTGTGAGGAAAAAAAAAAAACAAGGTCAGGAGTTGGAGTCCCAGTAGATACACAGTAATGGTCTTTCATATGAAAAGCATCAATGAATGAAGCAATTTTAGGAAAATGCTTTAGGCTTCTATAGCAAAAAATACTTGTACACCCATAAGAAGCACTTCGTATTCTATTGTATAGACTCAAAGAACCTCAGAGTAGGAAGGGATTTGTATTATAGCAATTAACAACAATTATACAATACAGATCAGGTTCCAGCCATACCTTCTATATGGGGGTTTACAAAAAGAGTTGAGCTACCTAGATTAATACACTGGGCTACATCAATATACTAGGGTACTACACAGGAATGAAAATGAACAGACTCTTGCCTCATGCAATGTAGATAAATCTATCAGGCTTAATGTTGGCTAAAGACCAGATAGAAAGAATGTATATCTTACCCTTTCAAATACATCAAGGTGTTAGAAGCTAGCATAATGGCTGAGTTTGGAGGACCTACAGACAAGGAGGAGTCGCCAGGGGGCTCCTAGGGCTGCAGTTCCATTTTTTTAATCTGAGTGCTGGTTGTATGGGGTGGATTCATTTGCAATAATTCATCAAGAAGTTCCAGTTATGATTAGTGCACCTTCCTGAATGTATGTACACTTCAATTAAAAAGTTAATTCAAAAAAACAAAACACACATGGTCCCTACTATCTTGTATTTCATCTTTAAGTAGATTTTTGAGAAGTGTCTCTCTGGATGGATGAATCAAAAAAGGCAACCAGTGGGCAGTGATGACCCCACCAGTCTGTGCCTTGGCAAATGAGGGTGGGCTGGGCTTTGTCCCCACTGGTGTGGTTGGCTAGACTCAAATCACACATCTGGATGGACATCTGCAAATCTGCAAAAGCACTCATTTGACCCTCCCTCACCACAGTTTTACGAGAAGGGTAGGGCAGATATCCTTATTTTACAGATGAGGAAGTGGCACGGAACAGTAAGACCCATGCACGAAGGCGATGCAGCTAATAAGACATGGAGCCAGGACTGACTCCTAGGCAAATAGTTCTTTAGATGGTCCCTGATTCATTTTTGGGAGGGCAAATAGGAAGAAACTTCTTTCTGTGTTACTGCATATACTATTTTGAGGGTTACTTCAAAAGCTCTGTGGAATAAGGTCTGACATTCTTAATACTGGACTGAACTAAAGGTCCAGGTTCTAAACTCACTTGAAAACTATGCTGTAAGCATGAACATACAAATAAATATTCATCTTTTGCATATCTACCTATGGAGAAAGATCAGTAGAACAGGGATATGTAGGTATCAATAGTGTATATGCATCCCTCTCATGCCTTAAATTTCCTGATTTGAGGCTATAAACTTTGTTATTCCCTAAAAAAAATGTACAACATAGACATGTTCAACTTACCTAGAAGTGTCTGCTTGTCCTGGGAGGAGTCTGGCTCTGCAGAACACCTGCACGATCGGAGAACGATCACACCGCCAAGCACACCATCTTCACTGGCAAGGAAAGGGGAACCTAGGCAGAAAGGATCAGCAGTCATTTTTAGTGAATTTTACTCTTTTTGTTTTCAACTTTCATTTGATCACTGGAACAAAAATGTGGTATGAGTAAGATCTTGAAAGATGCCTATTTCCTGAAAATCATCAATGTTCATACCTCATATAGACTGGATGGCAAAGGCAGGCTTATGCCTGAGCAGCAGCCATTTGGCAAAGACAGTGTGGGTGCTGCCAAAATGACAAGTGGGGGGTGGAGGGTGCATTAGTGTATTCTGAGAGGAATTGGAAACACCACCAGATTAAAGGACCAAAACACAAATACACAAAAAAAAAATGTTCAACAACTCCCTTTGATCAGCTCCTGGGCATCACTTACTAGCCTCTCCCTGCTGTCAGGGGTACACCACCAAAAGCTTTGATTTACTACCTTAAATTCAATTTTAAACAATAAGCCACAAACTTTATTACAAACATTTAAAAATGCTCCTGATGGTTTACACAAATAAGGGTGAAACTGTATTTCTATTGTGAGAGTGTGGTGGTTACAAATAGCTCAGACTCCTCGAGATCTCACAGACGGAACCACTGTGAGCCTTTCAAGAACATTACATTTCAAAACCCCTCATTTTTCTTCCCCAAGGACATCTTCTCAAACATCTGGCATAGCAAGTGAGCACGTGGAGAACAAATGCAAAATTAACCCAAGAACTATCAAAGAGAGTAGTAAAAATAAAAACCAACCAAATTGGATTTGGAGGGAGCTTCTGGTTAAGTTTAGTAGATTAAATACATGCCTTTATCTCCATTCCCTCCCCACACCTCACTGAACTGATGGGAAGGGAAGAAAAAAGGCATGGCCAGAAACGGCAGAGAAAAAGACACACAAGAAAAATAAATCTAACCTAACAAAGAAGGAGGTGGGGAGGAAGAAGAGGAAAATATGCCAAAAAACACCAAGATATAGCTTATAAAGCCCATAAACTTTATTCTTTAGTCTTCTCAAAGAAAGAGTTTACCAACCCCCCATCTAGGCTCAGATTCCAGATAGAAAGATACTTCGTTCTTAAGCCTGCAGAAGTCAAGTTACTCTCTAGACAGGTTCAAGTAAGGGCTAGTTGTGTGACCAGAGAGAATTAAGACTTAGGAAAGTCAGGCTCACCCCATGGCAAGAAGAAGCTACACAGTGAAAACAAAGAGGCTGAAGTGAAAGTCTTCCTGCTAAACAGTGAAATACCCAGCTTCCTGGACACAACACATCAGGCTGATACTCTGAGCAAGAGACTGCATAATTCCCTTCTAGCAACCCAACAAGCACAGGAGTGCCTGCTCTTACTCAAGAGATACGTAGTAACTTGTTCTTGGCTTATGATGTGGGCTTTAAGATGGCAGTGTTTACTCATACAAAGAAAGTGTTCAGTTCAGAGCATCATGTCAAATGTTAGGGTACAGACAATTTAGGATCACAAGCTGTTTCAACAAGACCTCTATCTTCGGAAAGACAAAGACCAGGGGCTGGGAATTTAGCTCAGCGGCACAGCGTCTGCCTGGCAAGCGCAAGGTCATGAGTTTGATTGCCAGTATCGGAAAAAAAACAAAAAAAAGGAGACAAAGACCAAAACCAAAAATAAAGATAACACAGGAAAAATAGGCAAACTGGCTGAGCAGAAGAAAAGACAAAAAAAATCAAATCAAGTAAGATAGAGATGGGATTAGAGGTATGGCTCAGTGGTAAAGTGATTGCCTAGCATGTGTGAGATCCTGAGTTAAAGCTCCAGCACTATGGGGGGAAGCTGCAGGGAGACTGAAGGAAAACAAATGAAAAAAGTAAGAAATTCAGGGAAATTAAAAATGATAGATTAAGAGTGGCAGCAAACACCATTAAAAAAAAAAAAAAAAAAAAAAAGAGTGGCAGCAAAACAGCCTCTCCAGAACCTGGAACTGAGACACCTGAAAAACAGCTTAGTAAAGAAAAACTAAGTAGATCTCGGGAAATTAAGAGTCAGCAGGAAAACTAGAAAATAGAGAAACTAGAGAAAGTTAACACAATGCAGAGAAAAAAAATGAAGCACTCTGCAAGGCTAACCCAGGCTCCCTGCTAACAAAGGGAGAGGGTCAGTCCAGAGAGGGTCAGCAGCTACACCAAGAAATAATGAACAGCACGTGCCTCAAGAAAAGCCCACTATAATTGTTAACTGCAAAAACAGTGCGGGATTTTACTCTGAAAATACTTCTGCATGGCTGACTAGAGCTGGAGAAGAAATCCTGTGCAGTGTCCGTCAATTACACGATTTAACCAGGAGCCACTTTAGGAAGACTGAGCTACAGAACAACTACACTTCAGGATTTCTGGGGTCTCTCTGACACAGTGACTGGGTAGAACACAACCACAAGAGACCTTTATGGGGAGGTCATGGGCTAGATATAGACTCCAAGAGGAATTTAAGCTGAAGCCAGGAAGGATGTGGTAAGAAGCCAGATTGTGTGTGGTTTGGGCGCAGGAGCAGGGGTTCAGTCTGAAAGTGCTAGCAATAAATCTAGCAGGTTAAAACCCCCACCTCACTGGGTAGCATAGAACTCAGTGGTTTGTTTTCTTTCCCCATTTGCCAACAACATAATTAAAGATACAATTTGGCTTGGACAGTTGCCGCAGCCTGGGGTGTATGAACAGAGTGGCACATGGACATGGAGCAGGTGTGAGTATCTCACAAAACTACAGGCCATAAAGCTAGGCAGAGAAAGCAATGACTTGGGGCACACAGAGGGACATGGAAGCTGGGCACTCAGGAGTGAATATATCCCTAGGGCAGACACCACTGACAGACTTTGCCCAGCAGAAAAGGTGGGGAAGGACTCATCATTCATACATGAAAACGTGAGTGTAGAAATAAAATAGGACTTAGTAGTGACTGTATCCCTCACCCATATCTACTGGATTCCAATATTGCAGACCCTAGGAGAAAGCACTTATTCAAAAAATACAGGAATTTTTTTGGACTCTTTCATTTTTCATTGATTTTTTTTGAGAGTGGGATTTTTTTTTTTGTCTTTCTTTTGCTCTGTATTTTTCTTTTTTTCTGCTAAATTCTACTTTCTTTTATTCCATAATAGGATCCTTTATCTCATTTTTCTCTCATCCTTCTCATATTCCTTCTCTTTAATTTCTAAATTTTACCCATTTAACTTTCCCCTTCCCCACATCCTCCATTTTTACTAGCTTTATTAGTCTTTAGATACCTAGTTGACTCTAGGATATTACTGTTGAATTCCTTTCTATTGTTAATGGTGGTATAGTTGTTCCGTTTGGTAGATATTTACGTCTATCTGTGGTTTGTTCTTGGGTCTGTTTTTTTCTTTTGTTCAGCATGGAACAGTTGTAGCTTTTATTGGTTCTTATGGTATGTCAGTTTCCAGTTTGTTTTTATTATTGGAGCTAATTTTATTGCTATTCCCAAGGTTGTATAGTTGTTGCTATTTGTAATGGTTGATACACTGTGTCAATTTGAGAAGTTTATAAGTTTAACTAAGCAACTCAGCAGCAAGCCAGGGTCCTCACTTTCTAAATATCCTTTTCCTGTGCAAGAGGAGGGCCTGGAGATTGTGTGAGTACTACACCCACCCTGGGGTGGGGGCAGGGTAGCCTGCTTACAACGTAAGGGAAGAAAAGAGCCTTGCCCCCTCCCCCACCACCGCTTTTTCCTCTTGCTACTTTTGCTGTCTTCTGCTGCCTTGAACTGGTTCCCCTGTGCCATGCCATTCTGCCTTGGAGCCAGCTGATTATGGACTGAAATCTCCACAAACTGTGAGCTAAATAAACCTTCCCTTCCTTAATTTTGGGTGTTGGGTATTTTGTCTCAGCAACAAGAAAAAAGTAACTAAGACGCTATTAAATTGTTTTTATTGTGTGCCAGTATCTGGTTTGTCTTTGTGTCATCAATAATACTGTGGTTTCTTTTTGGAGAACTGGGCGCTGGGCCAATTACAATGCACCCGCCCCTTCCAAAAGTAATGTAGGTGGTCCAACTGGGAAAGAGGCAATGACTTACAGTTAGCCATACCCAGAATATCTGATGGGAAAGCTGACTGACATTAACTAAAGAGATCCTCATACTAGTAACAAAGTGCTCCCACTATAATCAGCCCTCAATACCAGCAGCAGCAACAAAAACAGAAACATACTAAGAGTTCTTTGTATATCTTTTCTAAAATTATCCATACTTATACACACATATTTTTCAATGGTTTTTTTTTTTTTTTTCACTCAATGAGATGAAGTTCTGGGGTTGGTTGTTTGAGATGTAGCTTCACTATGTTGCCCAGGCTGGCCTCTTGAACTCCTGGACTCAAACAATCCTCCCACCTCAGCCATTGAAGTACTTAGGACTACAGGCATGTGCCACTGCATCTTGGTATATCTGACTTTTAAAATTCAACAATATAACGTGTAGATCTTTCCATATCAACACACTCATATTTTATTTAACTTGTACCTCTGAACAATGAATAACCTCTACACGATCACTTCTTTGACTGTTGATGAACATGTAGGTTGTGGTTTTGTTTTTGCTACTACAAGTAATACTTCAGTGAATATTGGGACACATTTACCTTTCATATACATAAAAATATATGTATGGAATGCATTTTTAAAAGTAGAGTCAATGAATCAATCAGCATACCCACATAAATTACTGTGGAGAGTGGCTGAGCTGTGGCTGAACTGGAGGTCAACAAACTCCTTGAGACTAAAGCAAGGCCAGTCCAGCAGGTGTTTGGCTTTGGTGTTCCTCCCTGTTAACTATAGCACAAATAGCTCTAAAAATGTTTCACTTTCAGTGTTCTCAGCAAAACACTAAGACCTTACACTTTTGACTCCACTGCATGCTTCCCCCTTTTTACTGCATATAAATAAAGATGTAGACCATGCTGGGTTGTCACTGTCTCTCCATGAGAGGGCAGGTCCCATCTGGTCCCAGCTTTCCTTTTAGTATGTGTCGAGCTTTTTCTTAATCTCCCTGT